TACCACCAGGGCCACCTAGGCCGTCTCCTGTGACCACGTTGAAGCTGTGACAGGGAGTCCAGGCACCCATTCTTTCTATGGACCCTGGTCTCCTAGCGGGGTGACATGCTCCAGCAGAACCTGGCCAGACTCAAGACAGTATTTTCCCCCCTTCGCCCTCCTCCATCCTGGTCCTCCACTCACCAGAGGACTTGGGCCACTTCTACCACCTTGCCTGCCTCTACCTTAACTGCTCCTTTCATTTAAGCTCAGGGTTAACCAGATGTTCTTAGATAAGTGTCCATCCCCCAAAATGGGATCCTCCCCCGCCCCATGCATGTAGACACGCACGCACACGTGCCTGCCCGAGAGATCCTGCCGTATGGCTACCCTGCCTCCCTTGCCTGTGTGCCACGAGGTGAGGGGGGCACTCAAGAGTGGCCCCTAGGATGTAGGATGAAAGTGTATCATTTATGTGTGCAGAGACGTAAACTGAAACATTTCTAGCACTGTTTCTTAACCCCTATCTCCCTTTTCTGTTTCAACCGGAAAAGCCCTTGTATCATCTTGTGTTTGGGATCTGCCGAAACCTCTTGGCAAGAGTGTAGTTCAGGCGACCGGCCACAGGCCCCCACTTGCCTCCGTACCCTTGCCCCACACCCAGCAGACACTTCCTCGATGTGCCACTGTGCTGCCAGTTCAAGTGGGACTTCATTGGTCCTTTGGGGTTTCTTCCATCTCATCCCACCCCCTCACTTCTGTTCCGTGTTTTGTTCAGTAACTTCCCCAGGCCAGGTCCGACGGTTTAGCTGGAGAAATGGTTTTGTCTGCACCTTCCTTCTAAAGATTTAATTCTGCCATGGCCCTCTCCACACCTCCCTGATAGGTGTTCCTCTAACTGGGTTGTAATTAGAACTTGGATCTACTATTTAATTTCTCTGGCCATTTCCCATTCCCTCCCACAGTACTAGAAATCTTAGTCCTATACAAGAGTAAGAGGTGTGTACAAGCCCCCCACTGTACTGTATGCACGGATCGCTTGGCCAATAATTATGTCAGTGAATCTGAGACTTGTATTAAACACTTTAGACATTTGTAGAAGGGAATTCGTAGACTTTTCACTTATATACTAAAGGTTTTTTTTTTTTTTTTTGTGCAGTTCTCATTGCAAAAATAAACATTTGTACTGAATATAAAATTAACCATCCTGTGACTACTGCTGTCTTTTTGTCTGAGGGCAAAGCTGGGGTAGGGGGATGGAGGGAGTCGGTTTTGTGTAGCAGAGGAAGAAGGGCGATCCCCAGACTCCCACCAGCCATGCAGCCAGATTAGAGGACTCAAGGAGGCACAACCGGGATCACCCAGTGGCTGTGGAGGATTGATTTGATGGAAAGTGTAAAAGAAACCGAAGCTGTGATCCAGGCTAATCGTGCAAGAAAAGAAAGGTACTTGGTACAGGGAGAATAAACCTTTGTACAATACAAGCCATGTAATCATAGCCGTCCAACCGAGTCTGAAATACATTGTTTACTGAGGCCGAACCACATAAACCACCATGCCCCTTTAAGTAGGAACCCACAGACTTAATTATGGGCCCAGGATGGTGTCCTGTTCAGCCTTAACAACACAAAGGTAGAGGTTAGCAGTGGGAGGTGACAAAAATAATGAGAAGGGTGTTTAAAGTTAGAGAGGAAACCAAAAGGAAAACTAAAAACGGGCAGGGTCCGTCCAGGGGTGGTGAGGCTCGAGTCCATGCTTAATGAACTTCCTAAATTGGTCCTCAAAAAATGGCCACACAAGCCTGTCGAGCGAGATACCTGGGTAACCACCAGAAGAAAGCTAACAGCGTTCCAATGGCCGCCTCCGGGCGGGAGAGGTGGAGCCCGAGATTATTGCTTTTTTCATAAATCTCGTTCAGCAAGTTGTATGGCTTTAGGCAAACGACTTAATCCCCGAATTTCAGGTTCGTGTTCTGTAATACAGAGATGTGATAATAGTACCTACACTTAATAGGGTTGTTACGTGGGTTAAACGGTGTGACCATGAAATGTTTAGCATCTTGGGGGAAGGTTGCAAAACAGGAGGAAGAACCTGCCCTGTCGGCCTTCTCGACCGATCCTGACCGACTTCCTCTTTCTGACCGCCCCAGGGACTCAACCGGCCCGGTCCTCCGGCTCGCGGGCCCTGTCAGCCCTCTAGAAGTTAAGAGTCTCCGCGTCTCCATTGGTCGCCACCGGCAAATCCCCACCCCCCAGCCCGGCCTCAACACCTGCCGATTGGCTCCCGGGCGAGACCTGTCACCCGCACGTCAATGACCACCGCCCTCCAATCACAGCCGTGCAGGGGCGGGGCCGGCGGGCGCTGGACTAACTGGAGGACTTCCCGGGGTCGAGGCCACTGGACCCGCCGTTGGAACCAGGCCTGGGTGAGGGTGCTGCTAGGTCTCTCCCAGCCAGGCCAAGGACAGGGCCGCGCAGTCCAGGGAGGGGAGCTCCGAAGGGCGGCGGCAGGGGCTCTCAAGTCCTCCCCGGGTTGCGGCGACCGCCCGCGCCTCCTAATCCCAGCCAAGGCACTACCTGTCCCCTCCTTCCGCTTCCGGGCCCGCCCGCCCCGCCATATTAGGTCCCGGCCCCGCCCCCCGTCCCTTCATCCCGGAGCCGGGCCGACCCCCAGCTTATTGGCCCAGCCCTCGCACCCAAAGTATCCTGGCCCAGCCTCCGGCCTTCTCCCGCCCAACTTTAGGCCCCGCCTCATCTGGACTCCACCCTCGCCCCGCCCGCCCTCTAAGCCACGCCTCCATCTCCTACGCAGCTCCTAGGCCAAGGTGGGTCCACGGTTCCGGCGCGTAGGCCGCACCTACCCTGCATTGCTCCGCCCCTTCGCTCCAGGCTCGGCCCATTTCACTAAAGTCACCTCCTTATCCCCTGTTTGTCCAGACATCAATCTCTCTCTCGACTTAATATTCCCACCCACCCGCGGCGGAGTCCTACTAGGCCCCGCCCCCTTATGAAGCCCACCCCCCCCCGCCTGCCTAGGCCCCGCCCTCAATTCGCTTCCCCTCTCCTCAAAGCCCCTCCCCAGCCTCGGAAGCCTGGTCCTCGCAGGCTCCATCCCCGCACCCTATCCTTGTTCCCTGTCGCCGTCGCGCCCAGGTGTTTACCTGGCACTTAGGTGACTCGTGTGCGGTGGCTGTTTCGATATAAGCCTCCCGCCTCTTCTCTCGGCGCGTTCCTTAAGCCCCGGAGGCACGGAGGGTCCCCGGACCAAAGGCGGTGGGCTTCCCAGCCCGGATCCCGCCTCGCTGCTGCTGCTCTCGCCCCCCGCCCCCCGAAGGCAGCGCCGAAGTCGTCCCGGGTTGCGGCGACATGCCGGAGCTGGTGGTGACAGCGCTGCTGGCGCCGTCGCGCGTCACTCTGAAGCTCCTGCGCGCCTTCATGTGGAGCCTCGTGTTCTGCGCGGCGCTGCTGACCGCCGCCGTCTATGGCTGCATCGCGCTCACGCACGTGCTGTGCCGGCCCCGGCGCGGCTGCTGCGGGCGCCCCCGGCGCACCCCACCCGCCTGCTTGAGCGACCCCACGCTGGGCGAACACTGCTTCCTGACCCTCAAGGTGAGCGCGCGTGCGCGGGCGGCTGTGCGGAGGGCCGTCGGGGCTTCGGGTGTCGAGAACCCCGGGAGGTCGGGCCCCGTCGGGGCCGAGCCCCGGTGAGCGGAGAGCAAACGGTGGAATCCAAACGGGGGTCGGCGCGTGGCCGGAAGGGCGGGGGGTGGGGGTGTCAAGCCTAGTGAGGAGGGCCTCCCCGGGTCTCTGACTGTGCCCTCCCCCAGAGCTCGGGCCTGCGCCTCCACTATGTCTCCGCCGGACGTGGCAACGGACCCCTCATGCTGTTTCTGCACGGCTTCCCGGAGAACTGGTAGATATGAAGCCCAGGGGCTTGGGGCGCCCAAGGCCGCAGGTGGAGCTGGAGGTGCCGCGGGGCTGGCTGGGTAGACTGGGGGCCCAAGGCATAGAAGGGGGTGCTCGAGGACAGGCGTCTCCAGGAATGTCCCTGCAGAGATGGGACAAAGAGGTATCAGTGTCGACGCTGCCCTGGACCCAGAGTGCAGCCAACCTTGCCTTCCGCGCGGGGTTCCCCCATCTTCTTTTCTGGGAAGTCCAGGGCAGGGAAGTCGGGTTGCGGAAGGCCCCTGCTGGGCGTAGGGTGGAGGTGCAGCCTGGGGACCCTGACTCAACCTCCCTCTCCACCTGCCTGACAGGTTCTCCTGGCGCTACCAGCTTTGGGAGTTCCAGAGCCGCTTCCACGTGGTGGCTGTGGACCTACGGGGTTACGGCTCCTCAGATGCACCTCGGGATGTTGACTGTTACACCATCGACCTGCTGATGGCGGACATCCAGGATGTCATCCTGGGCCTGGGTGCGGATACCCCCATCCCAGGCCTGGCCTCCCTCACCCCTGCCTTGCTTCTCCCTGGCTTCTCACCTCCACTGGTTCCTCTCACCCCCCCAGGTTATTCCAAGTGCATCCTGGTGGCCCACGACTGGGGTGCGGTCCTCGCCTGGAATTTCTCCATCTACTACCCGTCCCTGGTGGAGCGGATGGTTGTTGTCAGTGCGGCCCCCATGTCTGTGTACCAAGGTGTGTTGGGGAGCCCGGGACGCTGGAATATGCCTGTGTGGAGGGGCTTGTCTCTGTGTCTACACTTCCTTGTCCACCAGTCAACACCGACCCCCCCCCCCCCACGGGGGGCTGGTGGACACCCATGATGCTCCCAATCTACAATCAGTGACCGTGCACTCAGAAGTAACTCACGGTTTCTGAGCACCTACAGGTAACAATTGCCCTGACAAGGAGCTTTGCATATACATAACCAACACAAGCCTCTGTGCATATGAAAGTGTCGTTATCTCCACGATCCAGTTGGGGAAACTGAGGCAAGAGAGGCTAAATGTCTTTCTTCTGGCAAGGAAGGCATAGATGAGTAAGCAGATACCCGTCTCATCACCTGATTCTAATTCCCAGTATAATAGTCCTAGTGCTGTGGTCTCTCTCCCACTCTCTCTCTCCCTCCGTGTTGTTGTTTCTTGTCTGTCTCTGTCTCTAGACTGTCAGCTCTCAGGCAGGCAAGGGAGTTTTGTTTGTGCCATTTACTGCTGTGTCGCCAGGGTTTTAAACAGGTCCTGGCATACAGTAGGTGCTCAATAAGTGTTGAAATGCATCCAGACCTGGGCAGTGGCTGCAGACAGAGGTGTCCCCATTCTGTGGATACAGTGACCACTTGGCAGGGAGGGACACCGGCATCTGGGCCAGGAGGAATGTCAAGTCACCCCCACGAGGTCCGGCATGCGATGACATTCCTGACTGTTGGTGCATCTGTGTGCCTGACCTGGGTGCGTGTAGGAGTGTGAGGGGGTGGGGCCACCCCAGGCCCAGGCCTCACATCTGCCTTTCCCCTGCTGCCCACAGACTACTCTACACACCACATCAGCCAGTTCTTCCGTTCCAACTACGTGTTCCTGTTCCAGCTTCCCTGGCTGCCTGAGAAGTTACTGTCCATGTCTGACTTCCAGGTGCAGTGGGGCAAAGGCCTGGGGGTACATGGAGGGTGGGGGGCTGGGACTGGGCAGGCTGGGCACTGAAACCGTAGGTCTGCTGTGTACCCAGATCCTGAAGACCACCCTCACACACCGCAAGAGAGGCATCCCACACTTAACTCCCAACGAGCTCGAGGCCTTCCTTTATGACTTCTCCCAGCCCGGTGGCCTCACTGGGCCCCTCAACTATTACCGAAACCTCTTCAGGTGAGACCAGACCCGGGGCGGAAGCTCAGAAGAGTTCTGGGGGGCAAGGGGGAGGGGCGGTTATTCTTCCACCTGTCTTGGCCCTAGGAACCTTCCCCTGGAGCCCCAGGAACTGGCCACGCCCACGCTGCTGCTGTGGGGAGAGAAGGACACCTACTTGGAGCAGGGGCTGGTAGGAGCCATCAGCAGTCGCTTTGTGCCCGGCCGGCTGGAGGCCCACATCCTGCCAGGCGTGGGGCACTGGATCCCACAGAGCAACCCCGAGGAAATGCACCAGTACATGTGGGCCTTCTTGCAAGACCTGCTAGGCTAGCAGCCCTCGCTCCCTGGCCTGTGTGCACCTGGGAGTCCACACCACGTGCACACCACGACGGACTCCCGGGTCACGCACAGGCGTAGAACTCCTAGGCCACACACGAGTGTGTCTGTGGATGCCCGCAGGCACACCAGGCTGTTTGCTCACACACCAGTGTGAGTGTCTGTGCACCTGAACAAGCACTTCAGCCCTGGGGAACCGGGAACTTCTCTCCTCTGCAGAGCTGGATACCCAGTGTCCTACCTCTCCCCTCCCTGGGGCCTTCCCCTTCCTGCCAACGTCAGCCCCCAGAGCTGCACAAACCACAGACTCTGACCTTCCCGTCCCTGGCTTTCATCTCCAATCTGAGTCTTCAGCTAAAAGCTGTTCTGTCCAGTAGGGTAACTGGCAGCCGTATCTGGCTGCTTCAATTTAAATGGAAATTAATTAAAATATGATCGATTAAAAATCCAGTCCCTCGGTCACTCTAGCCATGCTTCAAGGGCTCCACTGACACATCAGCATAAAGCATTCTATTGGACAGTGCTGATGAGGGTACTTCTAGAAAGGGGGGTCTGTACCTGGCTCCTGACCAACTCTCCAAGGAAAGACCCTCATGTACAAGCAGGTGTGTGTCTAGATTCCTGTCTAGGCAGGCCCTGGGCAGCTCCCACCATCTCCCTCCCGGTTGTGACTCCAGACCCTGTAAGGTCAAGATCTCTAGGTGCGGCCTGGGCAAGATCCCTGGGATCCCTGTCTCAGATTCGTGGAAGAACAGCTCTAGGCTATGCTAGGGTGGATGTTTGAGATTCTGGACAGGGCACAGGAAGGGACTGGCTCCCTGAATGACCATCTGAAGTCTGAGGCCTGCCTCTCCAGCGCCTGGAATCTTCTCCAAGTTAACCACAGATTCCGCTGGTTCTTTGGTCGGGGGGGGGGG